ATGTAAACGGCCCCTAAGCCAATGCGCCGCATGGCAACTTCGAAGATACATTTACACTGCATGATGGGCAATGGGTCACGCAAACGCACCCATTCACATGTACACACACGCGCGCACACACACATGCATACACATGAACGGGTGCGGTGTGTAACCGTAAATCAAATTGGCCAAAACCCTGGAAGGTCTTAAATCACCGGTATCTATTAAAGCTGTGGTCATAACTGGTGCTTTTACGCCTCGAAATGGCTCGTTTGTGTGCATTCTGCTGCCTTTTGCGGCATCATGCGCATGAAAACCCTCTGACATGAAAACCCTCTGATATGAAAACCCTCTGATATGGAAATTCTAACATGATTGTTTTTCTGCGCTTTTCAGACAACTTCCAACCAAACCATGCAGGGCACTTTGACGGACTACAGTAGGGTCGCGCGCCCAAGAACGTTGTTTCGAAGGGGTTAGCCTGGGACGTTCTTATAGCACGTTCTTAGAAACAGTCCGTACTGGATCTTGTGTATTCCACAAGCTGCCAGAAAACCAACACCGCTGTTCTTAGAACTTCAGGCTGGACGTTCTTGGGCTCCATGTTCTTCAGCGCGCGACTCTACCGTACCAAACAGTAGTACCGTACTTTCCCCATTAAACGTAAACGTCTCCACTACTAGTACGTCCCCAATAAGCCCATTGCGCATTGCCCAATATGGAAGGTATGAGTAATGCACGTGAGTACATTGGGATCAGCAATGCACTGTTCAACACCCCAGACGACCATGCCCAGGTGGCTGTCTGGGGTGTTTATGGTACAAATTACGTCATTGCGCAATGGGCTTATTGTGGTACATGTTGGGTGTGGATCGAAAATATAAAAGGACACGTCTCTAATAATAGTACATGCCCAAATGATGTGATGAGCATCAGTGGGGTACAGCCACCAGGGTCCACCTTACTTCGTTTTCTTACCCGTTCATCATCTTTGTGCCTTTGTACACTGATTCTTACCATGGTCGAGTGTATTTACAGTCTTACAGCATCATTATCACGAGTTGTTTGCCACCCAACCCAGGCAATCAATCTTTCCAGAAGAAACAAAAGTACACGTCTCCAATACTAGTACAGTCTCCTATAGTAGTACTAGTACAGGTCTGACCACCTTTGAAAAAATAAAAGTAGTGTACAATTATTTTATTGGGAAAATACGGTACTTGATGGCGTCACCCGACCTAAAAATTAATGATGGTCGAATTGCTGCTTTTTGCAAAGCCTTGAACCATGTGAACGTGCGCTTGCACACATGAACCGCAAACGTACGCGTGCACACGCATGACCGTATGAACACAGCTTTTGTGTTTAGTTTTGATAGCCAGACTAGGCACTTACCCAAGTCGTCAGCAACAATAAACAGGATGTGCGGCTGCTTGTGCTTGTGCCTGATCGTCTCCGCATCTCCACCGCCCGCGCCCGCCCAGCCTTTCGGTGATGCAGCAGACGGTTGCCGGTAATGATAGCACGCTGCCAGAATCAAAGCAGCTACGACTACCGAAGTTTTCACTAAAATGACATCCACCAACATCTTGTCGCGAGCAATAATCACGGAAGACACGAAATGTTTCGCGAACACGTCGCCTACTGCGGCATAGCCTAGCCTGCATTGGACAGGCCAGGCGCGACGTACGTGCGGAGTAGATCTGAATGGAAACCGTGGTGTGTCGATGATCCAAAGACTGGTTGGCAGCGAGTAGATCTGCAGCTAGCTTCCGCTTAGTATTGTTCAGTCTGAAAGTAAGTAACTGTCATACTAGTTAGCCACAGTACAGTGTACTGGTGTGTTGTTGTAGCTCTACACACAGGCTATTGCCGAGTAAATACTGGCAGGGCTAGGTCCCACAGTAGATCTACTACTACTACTACTACTAGTACTAGGGAAGCAGGAGCGTGACTCTATCCCTATGGTCGGAAAGCGGCATTGAAGATCCAGCATGAATGATTATGTGGCCGCACAGCTGAGCAAATGGTGCAAAAAGTCGCTCTCGGTCTCGCTTGATTGCTGGCGTCTTTACAAGATAGAGAGAGTGTGATACATTTTATGTTTGAACCTCACGTAGACGTGACGGAATCCGATACACGACTTGTGTAGCAAAACAGGGCCCATCGCGACCAGTGCGGGTCTCGCGACGCGGCATGCATAATGCATATTGCACGCATGGTACATATGGCAGGAAGGAAGTGAATGACACCAACAACGGCAACATGCTGTGCTCCTTCCCATACTCGGTTGGCGGGTCTCGATTTGTGCGACCATGTGAACCGTCGCGGCGTCGGGGCAGTTTGGAGTCACCTGTAGATCAGGCAGATCATCAGACCCTCCAAAACAGGACTATCGCATAGCACTTGAAATCGGGTACAGTAATAATTATTATATAAATACCGGCAATCATTCATACGAACCCAGCGTACCTTGCCTGCTTTTTGCGCTAGCTGCTTACAATTTCTCCTTGGGCACCCTGTAAGAAGGCCATAAGCCTGTGACATGTTGGGTATACCCAAGTAAAAATACTACTACTAGTACTAGTACTACTACTACCACTGCATTATTCTATCACTCCCTTATTATTGACTCCCATAGATTTTTGCTATACCTAAGCAGTCAAATGTTCCTGCATATATTCTAGGGCTATATTGACTGCTTATATTTGACTCCTTTCTGGGGATTGAACACAGCCTTTGGCTAGTCGTGATAAATCTAATATTGACTTCGTACTTGGTCAGTATAGGAAAGAAAACCTCGTAAACCTCGGCTTTTTCCCTATATTGACCTCGTACTCAGTCAATATTAGATACAATACTACTCCCTGCTTGAAATACATGATTGATTGATTTTATTTGGATTCGCGAGACCAAACGAGCAGGAGTGCTCAATAACAGGGTAGCGAATGGTTGACATGTAAGGCAAGTAGGTCAATGACAATGGTGAATCCCAGAGAGCTAGAGGCAAATGGGTGTAGTTGTCCAGCAGCGACCTCGCTACACCTGCAATGCATAACTTAGATACTAGTACTAGTACAGTGTACAGTGTACATGCACAAGGCCTTGCAGATTTAATCGACAAGTTACGACACCGCCCGAAGAAGGCTCAGGGCCCGTAATAGTAAGACAGTAGAGCTTTGTGTCAAGCAGACAGAGCTTTCTGGTTTCCACGCAGTCAAGAATGATTATACGGGTATTGCTTATTTCAGGTCAGTACTATTAATAGAGAGAAAGAAAGACGCTACCGGTATGTTGCAACACCGAGTTTCACGCTATGCACGATCAGCAGGCAACCGGGGGTCCAAAACAGGTAGCCTGAGCATAAGGGGTAGCAAAGCGAGGAGGCCTCATCTTCTTATCGCCTAGTACATGTGTGTACATCAGGTACATAGTCATTGTCTTCAAGTCGAGGACACATTACAAGCATCATTGCCATTGGGTGCAGGCGATAGAATTCTCAAGTCATTAGTGCAAGCCGCTTGGGGTGCAGGTGATAAGTAGATAATTATGTAACATAGTTTGTTGTAGCCCGGCCATGCAAAAGTACTAGCACGAAGGTGGGTTTGGCAGGCTTAGGATGTTAGGTGCTAAAACAGGCAGAACAACTACGTGACAAGCAAGGATTTAGCAAACAATACATGTACACAGGTGACGTATAAACTAGCAACAGTTACTACACGTGACCTTACAGACAAACTATTATTTTCTAATTATTTGCTCTGTTGTGCTCCTGCTCATTTTTCTCACGTCGTATTTTTTCTGTTTGGCGTGCATGAGCAGTGCTGAAACCAAGACCCTTGCCTTGGTCGGTTGAGCTGCTCTCGCCCCGCCTCCACTGCGTTGGCTGCCATCCCTATGTGTATCCCTGTGCGTTTTTGCCGGTGTTTGCACCATGATGGTTTGTGGCTATTTTGTAAAAAACAAACAAAAAAACTAATACGGGTGCTGTTGTAGTGTTATACCTACCAAGTGAAAAAAAGAAAAGAAAAAGTTGTATACCTATGCGTATACGATGATGTACGGGTATCTTACACACTTCTTTCTCAGTTTCAATACTAGTAAAGTAATTCCACCTCCACCAAACGCGCTCTCTACCATTAAATTTTGAGAACTTTCTCAGTTTCAGGCGCGTCAATCACCTCTCTAATTCCAGACAGCAGTTCGCAGTGTGAGTCAGTCTGGCACCACACGGAGGTGCAAGAGTTTGCATCATCGATGATGTGTGCTGTAGGTCTTGATCAGCACTACAAAAAAAAACGATGCTCCCCAGCGGCACAATATTCCTCAGCCTACTCCAGCCTCAACTGACGAGGAATGAATTCCCCGAAACACTTTGTTTTGAGCAGGAAGCGATACTTTCCTGTACGTTGGCAGAGTGCAGAATGTGCAGTGGATTTCAAGTGTGCTCTGGTTGCCCGTTGTCAGTTTTAGTGGCAAGCTAAGAACATAGCCGGAGCAGATTCAGAAAAAAGGAAATTCAGATCGTTGAAACTCCGAGTTTCATGACGAAGGAAACCATCCGACAACTGAGTGATCTGCTCAGCAATCATCAAGTGAACGCATAGAAACAAAATAATAATACAACAGCGAGAATAGATGTTACACGTTAGGTGTCAATCGCCAGAGGCGATGATGGCTATGCTACAAGAAATAAAAAAACATAATTATCAGTTTCGAGCTGCCTAGACCGGCCTTGTTTGTGTAATTATCAGTTTGTGTAGCGTTTTCAGTGCCAACATACATGCAGCATTCAATAGTTTGCAAGGCTGAATAATTGATCAACACTAATAATTATGCAGTCATCACTGCACTAGCTACATGGTACAGCTTTTTCGAGTGTATTTTTTTCCTGGCAAGTGAATCTACCCTGCTTTTGGCATGGTCTTTGCTCTTTTTCTTTTCCTTTATGCACATGCACACCAACTACTCTGGTATACTAGTACACTGGCAGTTGGCAGCCACCTAAACAAGTAATTTAGTTACATGTGTGACCATAATCGTCCGGAAGTGAACAACTCCGCAGGATTCCGCACGGCTTAGAGGTTAGACATCGACTGAGCGCACTGCTAGCCACATAGCGGCGTTCGTCTAACGTTACAAACGTTACTAGTATTTTGAAGTACAAGTACATGTATTGCTTTTGTAGTAGCCAACGCTGTACACAATGCTAGGCATAATGGCCTCCCTTCTCACCATTTTAAAACTCTTTTCAAATCCCGGTGCATTCTAGATTGATGAAACTTAATTTATCATCAATTTTACGTCTTCCTTGGTGGCCCAGGCCAGGGCCATCAAGAAAAAAACAAAAAGAACAAAAAAAAGTGCGTCTACAGTGGGTACCGGGTGGCCATGAAGTCGAGACCCCAGGTCGGCGGAACACCCTAAACCTCACTACCACTGCCACGATTCATGTTGTGCGTGCTTCCGTAGACGCGTAGCTGAAGCTCATGTTTTGCAATAAAATTAGAAAATCGGTATAACTAACTACTTCATGCACATGCCTGTATACAAATCCGATGGTCCCCGAGCCGCAGTCCAGAGAGTGCTCCATGTCATGGACAGAGCTTAGAACATGATAGCAGGATCAGCAAACGACGTTCAAGTTCGTTGCAACTCCGAGTCAGTTCGTGCCGCACGGCAATCAGCAGACAAGCGAGTTGCCTATCCTGGGATTCCAGCCGACACCAGTTGCGTAATGCATGAAACTCGGAGCCACAACAAACCTGAACGTCTTTGCTGAATCTGCTGTGTAACTACATGTACATGTATGTCATGGCATGCCGCATCTCATGAGAGTGAAAGGTGAGAATAGGATCTGATCCTTTGACACAGGTAACATTTGTGCGTGCAACCAATCCCCGCCAGGGAGGAGCAGGAGAAAAGACGTGTCACAGCGGAAATTAATGTGTGTGTGTGTGTGTGTATGACAGAGGGAGATAGAGAGAGAGAGGGGGGGGAGAGAGAGAGACAGAGAGAGAGACAGAGGGAGAGACAGAGAGAGAGACGGAGACGGAGAGAGAGAGAGAGAGAGAGAGAGAGAGAGAGAGAGAGAGAGAGAGAGAGAGAGAGAGAGAGAGAGAGAGACGGAGACGGAGAGAGAGATAGATAGAGAGAGAGAGAGAAAGGTTCCTCACTCAGTGCAAATTTACAACTTGCGGCTCGCGAGGTACATACTAGAAGCGAGGGATGGCATGCGAAAGCCGTTTCACATGTATTTATAACTACAAAGACACAAACAAGGCTGGTCTAGGAAGCTCGATGCACAGTGCTCAATGTAAGAATGTACAGAGCAGTATACACAACTATACACACACAGCAGACGCGAAAGGCTGTGTTAGCTGTAACTTAATGCTTCACGCATCGGAGCGATCATCAGACAGCAGCATTCATGATCGAATTCTCTACGAGCAGGCCTAGATATTAATTTTGATGCTAGTGTGGAAGTTAGTGCATATGTGCGAAGTGAAGACGTGGCATTGGGACGGTGGTATATCCGTTAACTCTAACAAAACAACTAAATACCACTGTCCCAATGCCACGTCTTCACTTCGCACATATGCACTAACTTCCACACTAGCAACAAATATCTAGGCCTGCTCGTAGAGAATTCGATAGTGAATGCTGCTGTCTGATGATCGCTCCGATGCGTGAAACTACTAAAAAGTTACAGCTAACACAGCCTTTCGCCTCTGTTGTGTGTGTAACTACAAATACATGTACTCAATCTGCGGACAGAACTGTTTCGCCCTTTGTGGACTCATCAGCGCAGCACAGAGGAAATGAGGCCGAACCTGATAGCAATGAAAAAAATTAACTACAAAATATAGGCTTGAAGGACGTGTTATTTGAAGCA